AATTTATTTCTTATTTTTAGCTCAACATTTTGTTAACCTGGTGGTTAAATGTATATTGGTCAAGCTGTTCTTTAATTTCCATATGGAAACGATTCCGTCGGAGAATTTTGAAATCTGTTATAATAAAACACCTTTCATACAATCAAAAGAGGGTTTTAGAGTTAAATTAAGATCCACGAAAATAAAATTTGATTTATAGATTTAATAAATTGATACACTTTCAATTTCTTTAAGGTTTTTGGCTTATTACCGATCGAATAAGCATATAAGCAAACAATAAGACGAAAGTTATTAAAATATAATTTTTTAAACAAAAAATCGTCCATAAATTTAGTTTCATATTGAGAGACCTATAATTAATTTTATTGAATTTACTATGTATTTTGTTTAATTAAAATAACTTCCAAAATGTTCTGTCTATTAAAACGATATTGTATGCATATTTTAGCAGCTTCATTTGTTAGAACAATAATAGAAAAGAAAACAATCTCAGAAATAATTACATACATATACTACATGTATATGTATGTACGTACGTACATACGTATACAGTGGTAGACACAAAGTAGTCTTACGATAACAGATCTTAAATTTAATCCTTTGGTCCACTATTACATACAAGTGTGTTTGTTCTGCTTTTACTTGCAGATGACTAGTTGAGATACATGTCTGAAACTTTGAGATCTAACACTAAAGACGGTTTTTGTCAATGTGGATCCAGTTTTATAATTATAGAGATCGAAATCTCATATTTGTATACAGTTTTGATGATGCACTCTAATCTTAGACTTTAGTTTTGAAACTTTTTACCATAACTGTAAAATATGCAAATATTTTGTTTATATTAAGTTGAATATGTAGAAATACAATCATGCATAATATTGACATAAATTTTATACGATACACTCATGTGTGTGTGAATACCACCATCACCAAATATCGCATCGCATCACATCTGTATCTGTTTTTTACATGATTATCTAAATAAAATTTATGAAAACACAATTGTTGCCAAAATTAATGAGCTACAAGTAAATTTATGTTCTGCTAGATTCAAATGAAATGTAAATTCTTGCCACACAAAAAGAAAAAACACACACACACAATGCCACAGATATATTCACTTATAATTTATGTACTTAAGTAAAACTTGGCTTGAAAATATTTAGAACAATAGTGAAGTGAGAGTTATGAATTTGAAGAATTCTTAATAAATTATGTTCAGTTTGTTATGATAAATTTTCATTCATATATGGACTTAAATTACACCTTAAATCGTTATTATTATTATTATTTTTAATTACATGATATAATATACTTTTTCACAACTACTGCATACCGCCAACATTATACAGAAGAACTTGGCCATTTAACCCAGCAAAAACTTACACAATAGCTTTTAAAATTATTATTTTAACACGGGGATGACATTGAGGTAAGTACTTAACATGCTCGCTTACAACGAAGTTAAGTAAGTAGTTTGTTTTTCAAAAAAATATATTTTTATTCGTTTTTGTTAAAAACAAAGTAAAAAGTAAGTACTTATTTAATGTATTATTTGTAAGTACATTACCTTTCTATGTAATGCACGCGTATGTAGTAGTCAGTGATAAGTAAGTTATTGCTGGGAATATCTTCATAAATTTTAAATAATTGTAAATACAATATAACTTTTATTATGTTTACATATTATACAAAAAATAGTAACTGGTCTCATTAAACTGCCATTTTCAAAATGTCCTTAATTGTCCTTTAGTAACCGTTGACCCTTAAAATTGCGTATGTATATACCACACTCATAATTGGTATTTTCTCCTTATGTATTGGGTTCACCATTAATATTGACCCCAAAAAAATTTCACATTTTCCTAGGTAAATTTATAATTACGCATAAATTGCAATAAATCTGCATGTGTTTAAGTAATTAATTAAAAAATCATTAATTATCAACAAACAAATATGATTAACGGATTTAAAGCCACACATAGTTTTTTTAATGTAAATTCATGCATTTTGAGGGCAGGATTTTCTATATCTGTATATCCCTGCAGTATGGGATGTCACACCGGAAATAGTGATTTTTCCAGTCACAGGATTAGTTATATGATTACTTATTTTAATATAGGCTTTTTTAGGAGAAAATCAGTACATTCGTAACATATGACCCCTTGCATAGATATAGTGGGAATACATTGTCTCTTTGTCGAACTGTTGGGATGTATTGAAACAGCAAATATGTATGTATGACCATGCGGTATGAGTTTATTGGGTCAACTAAAATAATGACATTATAGGAATAATTTGAATAAATGGTTTTGTTGTTTATTTATAAAGACCACAAAAACCTACAAAAATACTGACAAAAAATTAAAATTTTTAACAACATGTATAAAATTAGGATGATTTTACAAACATAAAAATAAATTGTATGAAAAATTTTAATACTTAAATTGAAGATTTTATATAGTTCCCCACCCTATGCAAAAACCATTATTAAGTTAACAATGGTTTATAAAATCAGTTTTTATATTGAAAAAGTGTGTAGTAAACTAATGCTAACTTTAATAATCGTTTTTGCATTAGGCAGTTAGTCTATAAAATTAAATTAAAACTACGTATTTTGGAAGTGATCACTAAAAGGGAGAAATTTTCTAATAGTTTATACATATATTGCAGGATTCCTTAGAAATAATATAAAAATACAATTCGCTACCAACCTAATGTACGTGTGTATTAGGTCTACAAAAACAAATGCGTAAAGAGAATATCCTGTTTATGATGTTGTTATGGTTTCAGTTGGGTCACTGTGAGTACATAAATTTATTAGACACATATTTCTTCATACTGTCCAAAACATTTAATAATATTATAATAACTACATGTTGATTTTGGTACTAGGTACCTAAAATTTGAAATATGTATAATAAATTATATAGTTAGGAGTTTACAAAGTCACTGGATCTCTTCCCCATCGCTATTGAAGACCTTAATTATTGAGTATTCAAAACTAACCGTACCTTACACGCTTGGGGCAATTTTAAAAAGTTCAGGTAAGTGATCAGGTGACGACAGTATTTTAAATGTGTAAATCTGAAATGCAACATAAATTGTATTAATACCCTACACCACTTTAGTGGGTAATCAAACTACTGGTCGCAATTTTGATGATGAAATTTGGAACATGATCTTCTATGGTACCGGAGACGAAGCCTATTGAAAATGGTTAACATCGGCCCATTACTTCACCTAGCCCCCATACAACAGAACCCGGCGAATAGGACTTGTAAACCTCACAATTTTGATAAGATAATTCAATGAAATTTGGAACATGATCTTCTATGGTACCGGACAAGGCCTATTAAAATGGTTAATATCGGTCCATTATTTCATCTAGCCCCCATACAACTAAACCCGACGAATAGGGCTTTTAAGTTCATAATTATGTTTAATATACTCGTATCTCGACAAAAAGTTACAAAACCAAGTTCTATACTAGCCTTGATGACTCTCATGAATTTTATAATTATAGGGTCTCATTTGACCATAGCCCCTATACAAAGCCCCCTTCAAAATTTGGCTAAATGTCCACAATTTTATTCAACAATAAATGGCTTAAGTATATCTGAGGCAAGGTACAATTCAACTTAAATGCTTTATTATCACATTTTATTTTTGTAACAGGGTATTATATGGTCGGTCTCGCCCGACTATAATTTCTTACTTGTTTTTTATTGCAACACAAATTTATTTACTTTTAACATGTTTTCATTTATTTGCATTTATTTTAAACATAATACTTATGCAGATACAAATTTATTACTTTAGATATACTCATTTGTAAAAAAATACAACAATAGCAAAAAAACTAGTTTTAACACTATTTAAAACCTTTTGCAACTAAAAAAAGTTTTAATCCATAGTAAAAGCATCCTAATAAATTACTGCAGGCGGAACAAATACAGGTGAAGCCATGTAGATATAAAAGTAATTCAACTTTTAACTATTTTCTACTTATAAACACCACTTAACTCTAAAATACTACAGGATTCATTGTAATAGAAAAAATAGAAAAAACATGATATAGAGAGAGATAGCAACTAGTAACAGAGGAAGGATCCATTACTATATATTAAACAAAATTTGATTGTAAAAAATTTTTTTTCCTTTAGAATCCTTATGCCGTAAAATTCTCTTGTTTATACGACAATATGAAACTAGTCCCAAAGAATATTTGTACTGATTACGTATTCCTTCCCCAATAGTTGACCTACTTAATGATTCATACTCACATGTATGAAAAGTTGCAAAAAAAAGGTATACAAATTCGAAATTCATATTCTCTAGTTGTATTCAGATGCTAAAGTGCGAGAACCATTCTTTTTTGTATTTTGAAACTATATAAACTTTTATTGTTTTAACTAAAATTTTCCCTTAAGGCAACTTGGGTGTGAATTTTTATGTCTGTCTCTACTATGTCTGTCGGTATGTTTAAATAAGCTTTTTTCCGACTGGATACTGATACAGTAAAATATATGTATATGAGTTTGTCTTTTGTATAATTGTAATGGATATTGTTGTTGTTGTTTGAAACTTTCCAAAGTGTAGAGACCCAGGATGTTATGAATTTATGTATTTTGAATAGTAAATTAAGTAGGAAAGAGTACACACAGACAGACACGCACAAATACAAATATTAAAACTTACTTTACACTTTGAAAAAAGTGTTACAATTTTTGGTCAAAAGGATTAAAAAACAAGCATACAAGTTTCTACAGAACTAAAAAGGAGTATTTTCTTAAATTTAAACAAAATTTATAAAGATATTTTCTCTTTAGAACAACTTTATAAACAGTTTAATTCCTTTAATTTTCTGCTCTTTACTGATAAAAGTTTTTTGGCAAAAGTGTTAATTTTGTTGAATGTTTTTCTTATAACTAGCATATTAATTATTAAATAAACAACAGATGAAAAGTTTCATAATATTATTACAAAACACTTACCATTTTGCTACCGTTTAAATGTAAAAGTTTCTGGTTCGTTTTTCTTTTGAAAACAATATTCAACCGCAAATAAGGTTTAAGTCAAAAATCTGGAAAATAAAAGAAGAAAATATTAAACAAAAGATTGTTAACAAAATGAGAAAAATTTTTGAACAAAAGGTGTTAAATGGAATGGTTTTAGAGAATCGTTTCTGTTTTTATTATAAAACAGACTTTTAACATGAAAATCCATAAATTTAATTAAATATTTTAAAGCTTATTTTTAACAATTATTTTCCTTACAAGTTAAAATATTAAAATATTTTTAAGCAGATGGCAAATTTCTATATTTAAGGTGAAACCTACTTTCCAAAAATTTCACTTTTTTACGGCCCCTAAATATGGATCATAAATAACTACTTCGCCTTTTTAATCGGATTGAGAAAATATACAGATCTAATAGGTGAGAGGTTAAAAATATCGTTTGGAAAACTTCGTTCTATAAAACGATAATAGTTTCAAAGAATTTCAATTTTCTTGTATGACAAATATCTTTGTTTGCCTGAGACGAGATTGGATCTGCATTTGATAAAAAGACTCCATCCGCGAACTACACTTTTTCGGTACGTGGTCAAAGAGAGGTCGTTTACATTTGTTTCATGTTCCACTTAGGTTTTAAAATCTTAGAAAACTTAAAAGTTAAAAATTGTTTAATATTGTTATACCCTACACCACTTTAGTGTGTAGTAATAATATTGGTCCTATACCTACCTTGCCCGTCAGTCTGTCTGTCCGTCCATGTTAACCTTGATGAAAATTGGTTCATGATCTTCTATTGTCCCAGGGACGAAGCCTATTGAAAATGCTTAAGATCCGTCAAAATTCAAGTCAAATGTCCACAATTTTATTCAACAATAAATGGCTTAAGTATATCTGAGGCAAGGTACAATTCAACTTAAATGCTTTATTATGAAAACTAAATCACATTTTATTTTTCTAACAGGTGTAGGGTATTATATGGTCGGCCTCGCCCGACTATAATTTCTTACTTGTTTTTAAAATCGTTTTGCTTCATCATCATATGTTGACCCACATGAATTGCATTTTCAAAAACAAACCAAAGAGAAAAATCATCAAACTATTAATTTTTTTACAAAATATGTATTGTTTTAAAGTTTGTTTTTTGTTTATTTATTTCCTAAACATTTTGTTTTATTTATCATGACTTTAAAAACATTTTAAAGTTCTTTTGTTTCATTTTATTGGTAAAAAAATACAGGGTGTATTCAACATTAATGGATAAATTTTGGCAATTTATAACTGGTTCCACATATAAGTTGTTCTTTCAGGGTATAAATTTGTTTTTTATGATTAAGATTAAAGACTAACAAAATTAAGATTCAACTACACTAATAAAACTTAAACTGTTTTAAGCTCCTTGCAGACTAACACACATAAATATAGTTTACGTTAGTATTGAGTTTGCCCATGACTGCTATACTATAGACTCATCTCCAGATCCCGCAAATAACCAATAATAACTTCAACATTTGCAACACCCTCTCCACTTTTGTTTATGTTTTGTTATTGTGAAAAAAATACATTGTATGCACTTTTTGTTTTTGGTGTGCATCCATGACACAATTTTGTAAAAAAAATACAAAAATACCAGAAAAAAAGCATAAAGCTCTATGCAACATTTGTTGTGCTGTACCAAGAATCTAAACAATATAAAGTGAAAATTTCAAGCAGCTGCAATGGTATCTGCTGTTTTCGATTGGCGCGCATTATACGACACAACTGTCATAAACAAATTCTGTTAAACATTTTTTTGAAATTGTTATAGCTTCTTTGTGGGTGAAGATTGGTTTGATAGTTAATTTTAAACCAAAAAAACAAAATTAAATGTTCTCTGTTTATAAACAAATCAATGTGTTTATATTACAGAAAATCAAAATAATCATTAAAAAGTCTTAAAATGTTGATCAGCCCAATAGTCATTAAACATTAAGCAATCTTAGACACTAGTCCATTAATATTTGGCTCATTTCTTTCTTCATTGCGGTAAAATTTATTAACTGTTTGTTTATACATATTGTTTGATTTTGGCGGTTAACACCACCCATGTGGAGTTTAAGTTTAAATACTTTTTATTTGCTTTTTAGATATGTTTCATTTTTTGTCCATTTGTTTTATATTTTACTGTAAATGCTTTCATAAATCATCTTTAATGTAGTTTTATTTGCATAACATCACATTTAATTTGATTTATAATTCAATAATGTGTTTATTAACTGCCAAACTGTAAACAACAATTTGGTTGAAGAAAAAGTTATTAATAATTTTGCAATTTATTTAGTAGAAAATATTTGTTTATTATTTATTTATTTATATTTCACATTAGACAGCCATGCCACCAAAGAAACAAAGCGGGTTCCTGTTAAGAGCCGTATTGCTTCAGAAGTTTGGAAATGATAAAAGCTTTAATATGAATTTGCTTTAACGTTTTTAATAAAATATTTTCAAGACCTTTAAAAACTAATATTTTCATAATATCTCATTAATTAAGGGAATGTAACTTAATATGTTTTAAGACCGTTTTACTACTCCTACAGTCGGTCGTTTTCGATTTAAATATAAATTTTCATAAAGTCTTTTTGTTTATTATACATTTTATCCAACTTAATTAAGTTGTCTAATCCCTAAAATATCTTTGGGATATGAAATCTATAATGTCTTTTCCTTTATATATAAAATTACTTTCAGATATACATAATATTTATCTCTTGTTCTACTCCAGCTTATCAATAAAATGAAGCTGTTGCCATAAATATAAATCTTGTGTCTTTAACTAAAATTAATTTTTACAAGAGGGGGAAATCACTAGACAATATTTTATCTGTTAAAATACATACTTATGTATGTATATGTGAAAATTTAAATACAAATATTGTGCATATGAAAATATTGTTGTCATAGTAGTAAAATGAGACCAAAATATATATTTATTTTTTTACTAATTATTGTCAAGACAATCTAAAACACAATGGAGGTGGGAATAGACAGAATCTATGAGTACACCATCACACCAATCATACCGACACTAAAGATATTCCATTTCTATCTTTATCTTATTTTTTTTGTCATGTTCATATTTTACATGATTATCTCAATCCCCTTGACACTGAAGTAAAACATGACAACGACAAACAAGATTTTGCTATATCTTTGGTTTTGTATCTGTGTATTTTATGGATGTCTATATAATAATTTTCTACTATAATTAGAAATTATTATTATTTTATTTGTAGGGAACTGAAGTTGAGACTGGGGAAACAAATTTAAATACAAAACATTAATGACTTGAAAATGCTTTTTTATACTTGTTTAATTTTTCAAATTATTACTAAATATAGAGAAAATTTATTTAAGAATCTTTAAGCTATAAATATGAATAACAACAAAAACACAACTGAAATGTTTTTTTTTTAACGTAAAATCAGAATGAACTTTTGTTTTTGTTTAATTTCAAATTTTTCCACTTGGTTGATTTTAAGAGGAAACTGTACAATAAGGAAGTTCCGCATTTATTTTAAGAGTTTTTGTGTTGTTTTTCAGTTGTTTTTATTTTTTAATTTATGCAAAATGTTTAAGACTAAAATTATGTAGACGTTTATTCATTATATAACTATGTATCTGTAAAAGACATGTTGTTTATGAAAGATAATTGTTGGCAAATTATGCAAATTTTTATAAAAAAAAGTAAATTTGTAACAAACAATAAAAAAATTATTTTTATTTATGAGATGCTTGAGCAGTGTAACCTCTTATAGAAATAGAAAATCACCGGAAAAGTTTTTTCATAGAAATGTTATGGCTGGACCAAAAGTACCTTAAAATTGGGTTAATTTCTATTTCATGGATTTATCACAATATAGAAATTCTCTGGAAGTATGGTCTTAGAGAAAATTTTGCCTGAAAATATAATCCCTTTCAATTCTAAATTTTCATTGTATAGGTCCCTCTAAAACGGAGATCTCTCCTTATTTCAAAAAGTTTCCTACAAACTCCACTCCTCTCAATAAAATTATTACTGGGCCAAAACTTTTCCTACTCTTGTCTGTAATTAAAACTGCCTCAAAACAATACTCAAATGTAGTCAAGTACTATGTATTTCATACACTTTCACATGTTCTCAAAGCTAGAAATAAATACAAATACCTATGTACATACGTAAATATGTGAAGTATTCCCATTTCCTTAGGTCTTAATTATGTATCAACTTCATCTGATCATGAATACGACCTAAAAACCTAAAAGTTATAAATACAGAATCTATCTAAAATAAGTGGTGAATGTGTGAATGTTTTTTTACAATAAAAACAAAAAGAAGTCTCTTTATACAATGAAAAATTGAATCAAAAATATTGCAAAACATAAAAAACACACATACGAGGAGAGTAACAGTAACAGTTCATTAGACAAAATAAAAGCAAAGAAAAAAAAAAGTTTTCACACACAAACCCCCCAGATGAAGGAAAATATAAGAAAAGCTCAATGAAGTTTCATTTCATAAAATTTTCTTCTACATGATTTATTTTCAGATTGTCTCAGCACTTTTCGAGAACAATAACAACAACAAAAACGAGAACGAGAACTACAGACATAAGAACAGCAGCAGCCAACATCTCTGAAGTCTACTTAAGAAAACCATTGTATCTGTATTTGGCCAAAGGGCGTCCCGTCCCTTTTTTGTAGTAATTTTCATTTCTAGCTGTTTCTTGTAACAAAAACAACAACAATTTATTATAATAATAGTTACAACCACAACAATACAAAGAAAATGAAAATAAGGAAGTTTTCTTTGTAATATTTAAATATATTCCAGAATGTAGGTAATGAATACAATTGCCAAGACATTTTCAAATCTTTTAAAGCCTAGTATAAATACATATTTAAGTCCCTTAATGTAAAAATAATCATTATTGTTATTGCAAAAGTTTAAAGTAACGATGAAATTTATTTACCAAAATGTTTGATGACAAAAAATCTTATTACAACAATAGAATTTATGTAATTTTTAATATTCCATAAAAAAGTTCAATAAATT